TTTCATTGTAGTTCAAATCAGTTCTACATCAGGGGAAATTCGATTTAATAATTATATTCTGTCCAGTCGAGTTTTTAATAAGTAAACATTTTCTTAATTAGTTCAAGTAGATATTTCTATTTTTTATAATCAAATAACGATTTTTACTTTATCAAGTAATTTTTGATTATTATAAATATTGTAGCTTTGCTGAAAATTTTTAATTAAGACCATTAAATTCCACGGTCTCATATATAATCGAATTCTGTATAAAATTTTGCTAAATAAAAAATTCAGCGAAAAATGTAAGTAATAAAAAAATAATTAAATTATTTAATTAATAAGTGGTTTTTTGAGTTTATGGATTTTTTTTCGAATCAAGTTTATTGTTTTTATATAAAATACTCTATAGTTTTTCCTCATAATTAATTTGAAAATATTAAATTAGTCCAAAAAAAATATATCAAATTCAGGATTACAATTTAATTATTTTCTGGAATTTTTGACCAAAATTCTTCTCAGAATCAATTATATTTTAATAATTTTTGAAAAAGTTATTATAGAGTTATCAATTATTATTATTATTATTCAAACAAAAAAAAATTCATTTCAAATAATTTTGAAATGCATTTGTTTAAAATTTAATTTTACGAAATTTCAAACAATTTCAAAACAATTTGAATAAAATTTTTTCAAAATTCTATAAATTCTGCAGAATTTTAAACTAAAATTATGTAATATTGAAATTTTCTAAAATTTAAATTTCAAACCTTTTGAACTTCAATTATTTTTTTAATTTTTAACTAAAACTCTTTTCTAAATCAATTATTTTTCATAATTCTTGAGAACTGAATTATTAAAATCAAAGTAGAAAATTCACTTAAAATAACTCTAAAATTTTTCTAAAATAATTGAATTTCGAAGAATAATGTTAATATTTGATAAAGATATAGGTACTTGAAATTTTAACGAGAATTTTTAAAAAATTTTATGAAACAATTGAATTTCTGGAAGAATTTTATTATTTATATAAATAATTCAATTCTTGCAACGAATTTTATTCAAGTTTAAAAAATAATTGAATTTCGGTGACGAATTTTGATCAAGTCTATAAAAATAATTGAATTCTTGAAAAAAAATTTGTTAAATTATTTTTTAAATAATTGAATTCTTGGGACGAATTTTATAAAAATTAAAAAAAATTTTAAGAAATTTTGTATATTAAATAATTAAATTCCTGTGAAATTTATTACTTACGGAAATAATTGAATTATTTCGAGGAAATTTATTAAAAATTTTGTAAATAATTTAATTCCTGTGAAATTTTGCATAGAATTTTATTAAATTTTTTTAAAATAATTGAATTTCGAAGAAGAATTTTATTATTTATAAAGATAATTGAATTCTTGCGAACGATTTTATAAGAATATTTTTAAATAATTGTACTTCCAAGCAAAAATTTATTACTTTAAAAAATAATTGAATTTTTGTGATGAATATTGTTATTTATGAAAATAATTGAATTTTACAATGAATTTTATTAAAACTCCTGAAAATAATTGAATTTTGTCGAAGAATTTTGCTATTTATTTATAAAAATAAATGAAATGCTGACAATTTTTTTTTAGATTTTTTGAAAATAATTGAATTTTTCCGAAGTATTTTATTAATTTTGAAAATAATTGAATTCTTGTGATGAATATTGTTTTTTATGAAAATAATTGAATTTTACAATGAATTTTATAAAAATTCCTGAATATAGTTGAATTTTGTCGAAGAATTTTGCTATTTATAAAAATAATTTAAATTTTGACAAGAATTTTTTAAAATTTTTTAACCAATTTTTTTAGTATTTTTAACTAAAATTCTACTATCAATCTAGTATTTATGAAAATTGTAAAAATTATTCATTTAATAATTTATAAGTAGTAATTTTATGATAGTTCTTGAAAAATTAAGTTATTTAAAAAGAAATTATTGTCAAAAATAGAAAAAATTGAAGGATTTGTATTAAAATTCGTGGTAATTTCATAGTTTACGAGGCAAACAAAAAAAACATCAAAATTCAGAGTTTTCTCATGAATTTTAAAAATTCAATTTTTTCCAGTACTTTTACTAAAAATCCCTGATTTCCCTGACCAGTTTTACTTTCCCTGACTTTTCCCTGATTTCCAGTCAAAATTTTCACTTTTTCCCTGAGCATAAAGAATATTCTGATTCACTTTCGAAAAATTATTAGATACTCAAAAAAACATTCTATTACATTTACTCACGAATTTCTTAAATTGTAAAATTATTCGCAAACATCAATAACTAAATTTTTAAATAAGTATTTCATTATTATTTTTCCTTTAAAACATTCAAATTCAAACATTTTTAAAATTAAACAACTTAAAAGAATATTATTATAAAACATGAAGATATCAATCACTCCGAATCTTCGACTTGGAGTGATTGATATCTTCCTGTTTTATAAAAGTTTTAATTTCATAAAATTTTTCAAAAAAAGTAAAATTATTTACAAAAATTATAATAAAATTCTAAGCAAGAATTCAATTATTTTCATAAATAATAAAATTCTTCACATGGTTTCAATTATTTTTAATACAATTTTAAATAAATTTCTCGAAAAATAAAATTATCTTCAAAAATTTTTTGCAAGAATTAAATTAGGTACATTTCACAAATAATGAAATTCTTCGCTGAAATTCAAAAATTTTCAAACTTTACATTTTTAATACAAGTTTTCAAAAGAATACAATTATTTAAATAAAATGTAATAAAATTCGTTGCATAAATTCAATTATTTTTACAAGTAATAAAATTTTTCACATGAATTCAATTATTTGAAAAAAATTGATAAAATTCGTTGTAAGAATTCCATTATTTTCATAAATTATAAAATTTTTCTCAGGATTTCAATTATTTATAATACAATTTAAAGTAAATTCCTAGAAATAAATGGAATTATTCTCTTATTTTTTTTGTAAGAATTTAATTACATTTCAAGAATATAATGAAATTCTTCGTTGAAATTCAAAGATTTTCATAATATACTTTTTTAATAAAAGTTCTCAAAAGAATTCAATTATTTAAAAAAATGTAATAAAATTCGATGCAGGAATTCAATTATTTTCATAAATATTAAGATTCTTTACATTATTTCAATTATTTAAAAAAAAATTTTAAAAAATCATTGCAAGAATTCAATTACTTTCATAAATTAATAAAATTCTTCACAAAATTTCAATTATTTTTAATACAATTTTAAGTAAATTCTTCGAAAAATGTCACTATTTTCGAAAATTTTGTTAAAATTCTTCGAAAGAATTCAATTATGTATTTTATCAATTATGTATTTTTAAAAATTCATACTAAAATGCTTTTAATATTCAATTATTATCTCAAACTTTAACTAATATTGATTTTAAAATCAATTTTTATTGGGATACAATACAAGAATTCAATTATTTAAATACAAAAATAAATAATTTATTGAATAAATGAATGTTTTTTGAAACTAAATTATCATAAAGAATTTTATCAACAAATTTGAATTTTTTCGAGAAATTTTAATAAAATTTTCAAGAATAATTAAATTTTTCGAGGAATTCAATTAAAATTGTATTAAAAATAATTGAAATTCTATGATGAATTTTATTATTTATGAAAATAATTGAATTTTTGTAAAAAAATTTTATTATTTTATGAAAATAATTGAATTATTGCGAAGTTTGCTTAGAATTTTACCAAAAAAATTTTTTTAAATAATTGATTTCTTTTGAAAAATTTTATTAAAACTGTAGAAATTGAATATCATTGAATTGAGAAAATTTTTTGAAAATAATTGAAATTTTGCAAAGAATTTTATTAAAATTTTTGAAAATAATTAAAATTTGGAGAAGAATTTTATTATTTTTATAGATAATTGAATTTTGACGAGAGTTTTTTTAAATTTTTGAACATAATTGAATTTTTGCAAAGAATTTTATTACTTTTGAAAATAATTGAATTTCTGCAATCGTTTGTAACTTCTCTAAAATTCAATTTTTTCCAGTTACTTAAATAAAAATCCCTGACTTTTTCCTGACTTCCCTGACCTATACTGTGGCAACCCTGTTAATGCAACTGGCTCAGAGTTATATAGCGAATAGAAAAGAATTTAATCGTGAGCTATATTTATTTTTTTTTTCGCTGTGATAATTTAGTAGTGACACTATTAACATTTTGTAGCAGACATTATTGAATAGCTCATAAGTTTAACAGTCTGTTTATTAAATTCCGAAATAAAGTCTCTATACGTACAAATTTAATACCTAATGCGCCTGTGTGTAATTCTCGAAAAATGCAACTAGTACGCTTATAAATAATAAATATTTTGCTTTCAAGATTTATATTCGCATATACGTATATGCGATATTTCCATTAAAACTTCCGCGTTTGCGTTATTCAGTTAAACATAATCTCCTGCTCATGGGCAAGTTTTTGAGAAGCTCGAAGGAGCTCCAAGACATCTTCATCTTATCGTCTTGATCCTCGAGAAACTTGGAACTAGCGCATAGTCTCGAGTCATTGAATCTGCAAAGTTGGGTGAGCTGTTGGTCGAGTTAGATGGTGCGACAAGTCATCAGGAATGGTCCATAAGGGTTTCCTCTCCTCTCTCCACCAGCGCAGCGCAGTAGAGAAAGTCTGAAAACTTGCAAAAGGGATAGATATATTCTGCCCCTTCTCTCTCTATCATAGGGAGCTGAAAACTCATCCTACTATCGCATCTGCTACTCTAACCAGCTAAAGCCATCCACCCACCGCCCCCACGCTCTCTCGCGTTTAAAGTCCGACAGTAAAACAATAAATTGCTACTCACCCGGCGCGGCGGCGGAGGCTTGCCAGGGCCAGAGGGAAAGCGGTCCCTGTCAGCAATTGCCCCCTCTCGTAAGAAAAAATGGCAGCTGCTGTGGCTGGATGGCGCGTACGAGACTATAATACCTAGACCGCAGTTCACATTCACCAACACACGTGAACGTTGTTGGGGAATACGCGGTGCCTAGTGGTAATAACGTCGCTATCATCGAGGCGGCAGCGACTGGGCGTGGTAGAGAAAACCCTGCTGATCGAAAAGGCGGAGCCTCGTGAATCCTCCCTCCAGGGTTGTGCTCTCACCTCCTGCCTGCCTGCAGATCGTGTTGAGCCCGAGACTCGACAAAGGTATAAGGGGAGGGGTAGAACCGCGATCCGTGTCGACGAAGCACGGGTCAGTCTGTCAGGCAACCGGTCTGTCGTTACTCGCTTTCAAACGTTCACGCTCCGGTTTTACCTTTGTCTTATTCCCGCGATTTATTATCATCATCATATACTATTCCTCTTCCTTTCTTATTCCTCTTCTCTCCTCTATTGATTCAAGTGTATTTGAATCTAGCGATCGAAAAAAAGTGCACAGTGACAGGATTACATTGATGACAAATCAATAAATAGAATGTCAGATGTGGTGTGGACATGATTCGGAGTGGTGTTCAATTAAGACCCAAAAAGAATTCGGGATTTAAGGGCGGGATTTAAATAGAAAATTATTTTCGATTCACAATCTGGGGATAAAGAAGGATTATTTGGGAATCTTTAAAGGTGATGTTGCTGGAGTCGCGTGCCCTTGCCGGAAGGAAGAGAAACGGTCTTATCCTGTCTACTTTTGGGGGTGGTGGCGGCGGTGGCGGTGGAGCCCAAAGTGAGGAGGACGAGGAGGACTCACGGGGCCTTCTCGGAGGTAAAATGCAGGCCGAGGGCACCATCGCCGCCACCACGGCTACTGTCACCAGCTCTGGTTTATCATCTGGTTGCACAAGGGACGATGGTGACGATAGTTCTAGTCAGTCACCGAATGGAAGCCTTATTAATAATATTAATAATAATTGCAATTCAAATCGACAATGTGCGACGGACTTTAGTATTGCCGCGATTATGGCGCGTGATTCACGTCATCAGCAACAGCAACAACAACAACAGCCAATTCATCAGAATCATCATTCTCGGCATAGTCAGCAATTGGCCGTCGGCGGCGGGAAACTCCATCAGCATGGTGAGTTTATTATCATAATTTTTGATTACCTCTCGAGACATTTCTTTTTTTGATTCTCCAAAATATACTTTGTTTAATTCATCAGTTAGCGATTTCCGAAATTCTCAACGTTGATTCGCCGCAGTGAGGTTTAAGAATAAAATTCATTCCTTGGTGGTCTTTTCTCCAATCGATCCATAAAACCTACAAAATAAACAAATGGCTTAATTTCAAATTTATTTCTATTTTCTATTAATTAATCCCGGCAGTGCTGCCAGATGATTAAAACGACAAATCTTCAAAGTTCAAACTTTTCTTATTTATCTTCAAAAATCTTCAAACTAAAAATTCATTTTTTTAGTTAAAAAAATTTCTTCACATTTTGATTATATATTTTTCTGAAATATAATTAAATTTCAAACACAATTTTAAAGAAATAAATTAATATTATTGTGTGTTTGAATCTGTTCGCAGTTTGAAGTTAGTTTTTGTTTGTTTCTCAACTTTTTTAAATAAATTTTGAACTTTAAAAATTAATGCACTGAAAATTACTAAATTCTTGCAAAAAATTTCAAAATATAATTAAAGTCATTTAAAGAATTTTATCAAATTTTTCTTTTAAATAATTAAATTATTCTTTCGAGAAAATTTAATTAAAATTGTATTAAAAATAATATTGAATTCTCACAAAAAAATATTATTTATAAAAAGAATCGAATACTTCCAAAGAATGTTATTAAAATTATTTAATTGAAAATAATTTAATTCTTAACAAGAATTTTATTAAAAAAATGTTTTAAATAATTGAATCTTTTCGTGAAATTTGATTAAAATTATTGTTTTGAAAATAATTGAATTCCTGTGATGAATTTTACTGTTTATAAAAATAATTGAATTCTTCCAAAGAATGTTTTATTAAAAATTTTTGAAAATAACAATTCTTATCATTAAAAATTTTTTTTGATATTTTAATTCTCACGAAAAATGTTATTATTATTTTTGAAAATAAATAAACAAGAATAGTTCATTATGTAGTTAATAAGTAAATTTTAAAAATTTTGAATCTGAAATTGTTCAAAAATTAATGTTTATATTTGAAAATATAACATTTTTTAATTTGCAAAATAATTTTTTTTACAATATTTCTTCAAATTCTTCAAATATCGCAGATTTAATTTTCTTCAGATTTAATGAAAATCTTCCAATCTGGCGCAGCACTGAATTAATCTGGGATTAATTAATTCGCGATTGATAATTACACACACCAAAAATTACCAAAATAATTATCGAAATATTGTAAAATTATAATTAAAATTATAATTAAGAAATTTTTATGTTGACCTAAGTTAGTCTTAGTCTTAATTAACATTCGCTTTTTGTAAAAATCGTTTCTTTATAATTACTAAAGCTTTCTTTATTGCAAAATAATTATTTTCCTAAAGTTTTGAACGCATTGAAATAAAACGTTTAAAACTTACAAATAAATTGAAGTCAACAACTTTGATCAACGAAAAAAAATTGTTCACTTAGTAAATTAATTAAAAATGCCACAGCAATAGTGTCACAAAAATATTTAGAAAAAAAGATTGATGTTTATATTTTGATAATAATTATTTTACAAATTAAATATTAAATTAAAAATAATACTTGAATTCTAAATAAATTTTTTTCGTTTATAAACGTTGTGGACTTCTAACTTATTGTAAAACTTTAGGAAAATTTTCCGTTCATTAATAAACGAAATTTTTTTGTTTCAATATTATTTTTAAAAATTACTAGTTTGAAAGGAAAAACAAGTAAAATTATATATATTTACTTAATTCAGAATAATTTATCTAATTGTAAAAATAATCTTTTATAAAAAAAAAAAATGCAAATAAAAACACAGTGAAAAAAATATCGTCGTTCGCATAAATAATTAATAATAAATACATAAATAATACATAATGATATTAAAGGCAATATTAAATTATTAATGAGTTAAATTATCAACATTAAAAAAAATTATAAATATCATAATTATTTGACTCGAAGTGATCGTTAATCTCAACGTTTTTCTTTTAAATTATTTTTTTTTTATTTTAAAATAAATTCAAAATTTTTATTATTAATTACTTAAAAGAAATACTGGATACCCGAAATACTTATTAGTTTTAAAGAATTTATCTGGTTTTATTTATTAATTATTATTTTATTGAGAAAAAAGAAATTAATGCAAATTTTTTCCCTTTTAAAATAAAATTGAAACTTTGCAACAAAAATTGTAATTGACAAATAGAAATTATGCAAATTTTGTTCATTTCTTTTGAATAAGAAAATAAAGTTTCGTTAAAAATTGTTGTGTTTATCAAATCGAAATTAAAAATTTTTTTATTTCTTTTGAATAAGAAAATAAAGTTTCGTTAAAAATTGTTGTTTATCAAATCGAAATATGCAAATTTTTTCTATAATTTTTATACAAAATTAGGATATTTTTAAAATATAACGATTATTAAGTAAATAGAAAATATACCAATTTTGAATATTTTCTGTTTATTAATCACAATTTTGATCATACAATTTGTTTGTTTTAGAAAATGAAGAAAAATATTTGCATAATTCCTATTTTTTAATCACAAATTTTGTATACAAAATTCTTTAATTTTTTCTAAAAACAAGGAAAAAAAATTAATTATTGAACGCTTTCTTTGTAACAATTTAATTTTTTCTTTTTTGCTTACTATACTAAGACCAACTTTATGAAAAATAATATTCAAGAATTATTTTATTGACAACTTTGAAAATAATTAATTGATTAAAAATTTTGATTAATAACAAATATTAAGTAAAATAAAAAAAACAAATAATTCATACATAATGAACGGTAGAATTTTCTAAATCTATACATTAAATTAGCCACGTGTATATATGATTTAAAAACGAAATGGATTTTTTCTGTCAAAGAGAAAATGAACAATTAACACAGTGACCGATTGTTTTTGGGCTATTAAAAAAAATGCGGTAATGTCGTTAATTTCACTTTAGAAACAGCAATCAAATAAGCATATTTAATAATAAAAAAAGTGAGAGAGAGAGAGAAATGTATAAAACGAACTTCGATAAGCATTTCCACAACATCAGTTTAATTACAGAATCCTGTCGTGACTGGTATATCCTAGAGTCGACAATAAATAGGCAATGCAGCCAGTATATTATTACCGTTAGACACGAATCCTCATATTATCGAGTTAATGACAGTGCTTTCGAGATTGCTTTGTCATTGACGTTTAGTTAAAGCTTAAGTACCTGCAGTCATTTCTGATTTCTGATTCATTATCATTTCCCGCTCTAATTAGTCACCATTTGTCTTTTATACTTATAAACGAAACAAATTTATTTTATTTTATAATTATACGAACAAAAAAACACACATCAGACAAAATTACCACAACACATTAAATATTAATATTTACTTCTATTTCCAAAACAATTGTTTTTATTTTCATAATTTATAATTTTGTACTCGTTTCTTAATAAGAAATTTTTACATTTTGATAATTTAGTAAATTTAATTACTCCGTTCTAATTTCTACGTTAATAATTTTTATTTGAATTTCTACTTTAATAATTTCGTAAATTCAATTTTTATTTTTAACGCAATAAATTTAATTACCTGTTTCAATAATTGAAATTTCTACTTTATTTTTCTATACTTATTTTTATTTTTATAATTTTCAATTGAATTTCTACTTTAATATAATTTTTTATTTATTTAATAAACGGGAAAAGCCGTCACTTTTTTTTTATTGCAATTTTAATAATTTAATCAAGGTTGACACAAAAATTTAAATATTGTTACTCTGACTTCTTCGAAATTATTTTCATAATTTCAATTCAATTATTATTTTCGAGAATTTTTAACTTAAAACTCTTCTTCAAATCAACTATTTTTAATAATTTTTGACAAATATTTTTAAAACAATGAAGTAAACGATCACTTGTTTACTTCAGTTTAACATTCTGACGACCGAGTGATTAAATCATTATTTTTATATAATTTTTGACAGAGTTCTTTGATAATTTTCAAACTCATCTGTTCACAATTCAATTTTACCAAATTTCAATTATTTGGAAATTCCTTAGTTAAATATATTAGAAAATAAAAACTTCAAATAATTTCAAAAAAGAAATTCAGAATTGTTAGTTCAAGGTACAAAAAATTCAGATTATCAAAGATTTGGATTTGAAACCTTTTCAAAATTCATAATTATTTCTAAAAATTCATGCTATAATGCAAATTATCTAAAAATTTTTCTAAAATTAATTTTAAAATCAATTTTTATTAGAAAATTCTACGAGAATTCAATTATTTAAATATAGAAATAAATAATTTATTCAATATAATTGAATATTTCTTAAAAGTTAATTTTTACAAAGAATTTTATTAACTTTTGAAAATAATTAATTTCTTTTAGGAGATTTAATTAAAATTTTAGTTTTTTTTATTAATTTTCAAAAGAATTGAATTCTTGCGATGAATTTTGATATTTGTCAAAATAATTGAATTTTAGAAAAGAATTTTATAAAAATTCCTTAAAATAATTGATTTTCTGTGAAGAATCAATTTTTGTTAGAAAATTCTACGAGAGAAATCAATATATATTTAAATACAAAAATAAATAATTTATTCAATAATTGAATATGTCTTAAAATTTAATTTTTACGAAGAATTTTAGTAACAACTTTTTGAAAATAATTAATTTCTTTTAAGGAATTTAAATAAAATTATACTGAAATTTATTATGTTAAAGAATTTTATAATAATTTTTGAAAATAAATGAATTCCTGAGAAGAATTATTTTAAATAATAATTTATGAAAATAATTGAATTCATACGATGAATTTTAAATTTTGTTTAAATAATTGAAATTTTGACAAGAATTTTTAAAAAAAATTTTGAAAATTTAATTCCTGAGAAGAATTTTGCTATCTATTTATAAAAATAATTTAATTCTTGCCGAGAATTTTTAAAAAATTTTGAA